GCGGAAAAAAAAAAAAAAAAAAAAAAAAAAAAAAAAAAAAAAAAGAAAGACAGAGAATAACAAATGTTGGTGAGGATGTAGAGAAAGGGGAAACCATCTGCACTGTTGGTGGGTAAATTAGTTCAGCTACTGTGGAAAACCGTATGGAGGTTTCTCATACAACTACAGATAGTACTGGTGTACTATCCAGCAATCCCACTAACTGGGTGTATGCCCAAAAGAATGGAAATCATTATCTTGAAGGGATACATGCACTCCTGTGTTTATCGCAGCTCTATTTTCAATAGCCAAGATATGGAACCAACCTAAATGTCCATTGATGGATGACTTGATAAGGAAAATGTGGTATATATACACAAGGGAATACTACTCATCCATAAGAAAGAATGAAATTTTGTCATTTGCAGCAATTTGGATGAGCTTGGAGAAAATTATGTTAAGTGAAATAAGCTAAGCACAGAAAGAGAAGCATCTCATGTCCTCACTCATAAGTGGGAACTAAAAAAATAAATAAGGAAGAAAGGAGGGAAAGAAGGAAGGGAAGGAGGGAGAGAGGGAGGAAGAAAGGAAGGAAGACAATAATCTCTATATCAGGTTGAACTTTGAGAAGGAGAGAACAGAACTGTGGTTATTAGAGGTGGGAAACGGAGGGGGAGGGGGTTGGTGAGAAATTGGTTAATGGACACAAAGAATAAGTATGTTTTGTAATGATGAATATGCTAGTTATCCTGATTTGATCTCACATATTGCACACAGGTATTCATATTCAACTCTGTACCCCACAAATATGTATAATTAATTATGTTTCAATTTAAAAAAATACTACAACACATTAAAAGTATTTTATGACTTGGTAATAGTCCATTTAATATATGTGCCAGGTTTTGTTTAACCATTTCTTATTGTTAAACAATTGGTTTCTGATTTGTTGCAATTAAAAATAACTTTGCGACTAAAAGAAAAACATTTTGTAGTTTTCCTCTTCTATGTAAGTTTTTGACCACATTTGTTTCCTTGGGATAGATTCCTAGAAGTAGAATTTCTGGCTCAGAACAGTGTGTTGCTTATAATGATGGGCTTTCAGCAATATACTTTCCTTTCCATCTATGTAGAAGGCACTTGTTGATTCTTGATTAAATGTGCACTAATTGCTGTGCTGTCATATCTGGCAGTTACATTTTTTTTTTTTTGACAGATAAGGAATAGAAATTTGATGGCTTGGGTTGTGTGGGACTAATTCTTTTATTTTGGTAAACACCCCTTGACTAGTTTAAATATTCATATATGCCAGGCACCACATAGGCTATAATATAAAATTAAGCAAGGTTTATACTGAAATAATTACAATGCAAGAAAAATTATGACCTGTGCTTTATCTTAATAAATAGCTTCTCATGAAGAAGGAACAGAGGTAGCAAAAAGGCAGTCAAAGAAGTCAAGCTTTACGGAGGTCACTCTTACCCTGGGTGTTCGAGAGTAGCCTTTCTCTCAGTAGACACACATGTAGGGGAGGGACAGCCACGTACACAAAATGGCCTGAGCAAAGGCTCTCGGCAAACACTCAGAGGTGGTGCAGAGAATGGTAAGTGTTCTGGAATGGATGGAGCAATGGGTAAGAATAGGGAAGTATAAAAGAGAGGATAGAAAAGATAGGCTGTAACACCTTAAGTGCCAAGCAAAGGATTTTAGATTTTATTCTGTGGACAGTTGGATCTTTGAGTACAAAAATGACATGATCAAAGTGGAAGTGACTCTGGTAGCAATGTGTAGATGGCTGATGGGAGGAAAGGACAGAAGACAGGAATGTTTGTGAGATGTTTTTGCAGTGGTTCAGATCTAAGATAAGGAAAGAGCATAAGGAATTGAAAAGGAGGAGCTGATAGGATTTGGTGATTGAATGTGGGGATCTAGAAGTTAGAGAATTAAAAAATTTACCAGGATTCTTGAATTGGTAGAGTGGGGAATATTAACAACAACAACAAAGCTAGAGGGAAAAATTGGAGTAGGTGACATTCTCCTGGGAAGGGAAGAGGATATCGTTTGTATTTATGTATGTCGTTTAAGGTGATGGTGCAATCCCTAGAAAAGTGAAATGAAATCCATCAGAAAAGCTGTCAAAGCAGATGATAAAATCCATATGCTTTTCTAGTTAAACTTCCTTACCTATGATATTTAGTTGAGGCTTCTACAAACAATATGCTAATACAAGCTTTTTGCGTTGTGATTTGTACCCTATTGGGGAGGTCTTTCTCAATCCTCCTGAGCTGGAAGACTAAGCGCTCTTTTCTGAATACCTCACTCACATCTATTCTCCTATTGACTAACAGATATTAAGCGATAATCTTTAAGAGTCTATAGTGATTCATTTTTAGTCAAAGAAAGCTTTTATTTCCATAAGGCTTGTAGCATTTATTTCCAGAAGGAAAAAATATTAAAATACATGTTTTTTTTTTAAATGCGGCACTTATGTGGCATTTTAAAATTATATCCTAGGCTAACTCATCTGTTTCTAATTTTAGATTCAAGGGAGAATTCTGTTTTATTATTTTTCTGTTTTCACTATTGGATATGAATACTTCTTCAGATATGAACAACTTTTATCATGTTATTTTCTCAATTTCAGGGAACTGGCCCGGGAAAAGGTTATGCGAGAAGTTAAAGCCTTAGCCAAGCTTGAACATCCAGGAATTGTTAGATATTTCAATGCCTGGCTGGAAGCACCACCAGAGAAGTGGCAAGAAAAGATGGATGAAATTTGGCTCAAAGATGAAAGGTAACTTTGTTAGACATAGACTTAAAATCTAATATTTTTTTTTAGGCTAGGTTTTTGTTTATATGAGCACCATATCATTTCTATAACCTTAGGGATTTTTTTTAAAAGAAAAATAACAGAATTCTGTTCTATGTCATGTTTTAGAAAGCAGATGCAAATAAGTTAAAAGTAAAAGGATGGAAAAAGATATATTATGCTAACAATAATCAAAAGAAAGCTGGAGTAGCTTCACTGATATCAGACAAAATAGATGTTAGAGCAAAGAATATCACCAGGGATAAAGAACTTCATTTCATGATGATAAAGGGGTAAACTCATGAAGAAAACATAATAATCCTAAATGTTTATGTACCTAATGATAGAACCTCAAAATACATGCAACAAAAAACAACAGAACTGCAAGAAGAAATAGATAAAAGTCAACGTAAAAGTCCAGAAACAGAACTATACATCTATTGTCAAGTGATTTTTTACAAAGGTGAACAGGGAAAGAACAGTTTGGTTTTTTTTAAAGTGGTGCTATAATAAATAGATATTCATTTGGGGAAAAAAACAAACTCGTAATAACTTCGTATAGCATACATTATACGAAGTTATACGAGGATCCCATGTACAGACCGGTTCCCGCTCACTGGCTGAGCGAGGTGCGGGAGCAACGCCGAGGCTTGCGATCCCGTTGCCGGTCCCCGGTCTGGTACGGGGGCAACACTGAGGGTTGCGATCCGTTGCCGGACACGGAAAAAAGATAAAAGACAAAAAAAAAAAGAAAGCTCTCTAGGCACTTGTTAAGTGAAATTTTGATTTAGTTGAGACTAAATTAGCCTAAATTTGATTCAGTTGAGACTAAAAATTTTTTTAAACTAATTGTTAATAGGGCTCTGTGAATTGTAAACTGAGGGATTTCCAGTAGTTTTTCTCTGTATGAGGTATTGTCTGCTTCTATTTGTCTCCATCCTTTTTAAAAATTTTTTATTTAGTTTTTCTCTTAAAGTTAACAATTTTTAAGTTCTTCTTAAGTAGTTTTTAAGTATTTGCAGTTCAAAATACATAAAGTTAGGTAGCCTGAAGACATTTCCCATATTAACTAGGGTGTGCTATAGGAAGGAAGGCCCTTCAAACACTGCTAAAGGAGGACAAAGAGGAAACACGTGCAGAGATACTACCAGACAACTGGACTAAAACTCCTGGCGACATGTACCTCCACAGCATTAGATCCACAAGAGGTACCTTGTTACCATGGCCCCTGTTATAACGCAGCCGATAGCCAAACCACAGAAAGACCAAGTGAAGTGGTTCTTTGTCTCAAGGCCCTGTGAGCTGCTGCCCTCATTTGGACAGGGCCTTCAGAATCACGCCTCTGAGGAATCCTGTCCTTGGTGTTCCTTCTGTACTTTGTGTTTTGCACAAAAGGCCTTGGTTATGCTGGCATGGCAGAACCAAATAACTATTTCAAGTATAAAATTAAGCTTTCAAATTAGGTTTTTTAGAAGGAATGGATGGAATGTGATTTTTTTGTCTCACATAGCATGTTTTTATTTAGTCTGTATGTTGTTTTGTTGTTTGTTATTTGGTAACTGGTGTTATTATAATTGAAGCTTTTTTAAACAAAGGGTGCAGTTTATATAATTTAATCAATATTTATTTACCCTCATCCCTTTGTATTTCTCCCACTTTTAGCACAGACTGGCCACTTAGCTCTCCTAGCCCAGTGGATGCACCATCAGTTAAAATACGCAGAATGGATCCTTTCTCTACAAAAGAGCATATTGAAATCATAGCTCCTTCATCACAAAGAGACAAGTGTTTTTCAGTAGGGATTTCCTGTGGCCAGACAAGCTCATCTGAGAGCCAGTTCTCTCCACTAGAATTCTCAGGTATGGACCAAGGAGACGTGAGTGGGTCCATGGATGCAGCATACAACCTCCGGGACAGTTGCCTTACAGACTGCGATGTGGAAGACAGCACTGTGGATGGCAATGAGGAGGAGCACTCCTTTGAATTTTGTCCTGCTGAAGCTTCTCCTTATGTAAGGTCAAGGGAGAGAACCTCCTCTTCTATAGTATTTGAAGATTCTGGCTGTGATAATGCTTCCAGTAAAGAAGAGCCCAAAACTAACCGACTGCATATTGGCAACCATTTCGCTAATAAAATAACTGCTTTCAAGCACTCCAGTAGCAAATCTTCTTCTGAAGCTACTTTGTCTGTTTCTCCTCCGAGACCGACCACTTTAAGTTTAGATCTCACTAAAAACACCTCAGAACCACTCCAGCCCAGTTCTCCGAAGGTGTATCTTTACATTCAGATGCAGCTATGCAGAAAGGAAAACCTCAAAGACTGGATGAACAGTCGGTGTACCATAGAGGAGAGAGAGAGGAGCATATGTCTGCACATCTTCCTACAGATCGCGGAGGCGGTGGAGTTTCTGCACAGTAAAGGACTCATGCACAGGGACCTCAAGGTCTGTATTTGTGGAAATCACACAGGGGTTTCAATCTGACATTTTGTGATTCAGAGTAGTACTTGTGGTGCTTGTCAGTTTTTAACTGAAGGACTGACCCTTAAGAGCAGAGCAGAGTAAAGGCATCAGGGAGCAGAGGTCTGAGAAAGTTTCCCAAAGGGGTCTGCTGCAAGAATAAGAAGTGTCATGTTTGAAAACTTCAGAAAAATCATGCATTCTACCCTATGATGTGTCTATGTTCTTTTTGCTGTTAAAGGTATTCCCAATAGTTCTGATAGAAGAAAAAAGAAGAATCAAAAGTCCACCATGAGCAGATATACCCTGCTTTTTCTATGGCTTTTAGTAACCCCAACACAAGCCCCTAGGACCCTGAAGTAGCTTGGTGAAAGGGACCCAAGTGGAAGGAGAGACATGAGCTCCTTCATTAGTCAGCTCTGAATTGGAACAAATCTCCACACTTTTGCTTCCATTTCTGAACTGCGTAGGCTTTGGGGGAAGGTGTAAGAAGCTACACGGAGAAAGTTAGCAAATGGTAACCAGGTGACGATTTTTAGCTCTAAAACCTTAGATTCTATTTTCAATATATACAATATTTAATATTGTAGCAATACAATATGCTAAATCACATAAGACTCTTACTAAAATATGTGGTATTTTCTTAGTATTTGTTTCTAAAATAAATGCTTGTAACTTTTATTTATCTAGTTGCTGCCGCATTTCAAATACTCATAGCAGTCACCAGTAGATGTGTAATGAATGTATAAATATTTTTCTGATGAAAGTAGCTTAAATTCTCGACAGATTTGAATCCATTTTAAGTATTTTCAGTTTTATTCTATGTAATCACAAACGTTTGTTTCAGGCACCCAAGTAGCAATTTGGACAAGTTATTTTCTTCTAAAATCAGCAGTAGGTTTTTAAATCCTTGAGTGTATTTTAACAATTTGGGGATAACAGGACTAAGAACTGGAAATAATTTCTATTTTCCAATATAATTGTTATTTAGTAATATATAATCACTAAGCTTCAGTGATTTTTGACATGGGCCCAAACGATTGCTAGGAATTGTTCAGCAAACAATTAGGAATGAATTGTTCAGGGATGAATTGTTTTGGATGGAATGAAAAAGACCAGACACTCTAACTTGAGAGAATACTAGCTGTGTAAGTCTGAATATGGTAATGTTTATCAGTTAGTAGTAGACAACTAGCTGATATACACATTCTTCTTAAAACTGGCTGTACACATAAATGCCAAGTTGAAAGACAACATAATTATGTTTTCACTAATAATGAATATTCTTCTGCAGATTTTATAATGTAAATGAGATGTTGGTGAATATCTGTGTAATTCTACTATATTGTCTTAAGATTTTTCTATATTTGTCTATGCACCAGAAAAATTGCAAGAAGAAAGTTAATTTCCCCATTAGTTTTTCTAGAAATTAAAAAGATTTTATTCCTAAAGACAATTTCTTATAAAGTGTGCCCCCAAAATACCAAGATAATTATTCCCAGTTGAAAAAGCTGTACTTTTTGCTACATTCTGACTTAAGTCTTTGAGCTGTTAAACCTTCTAGGCCCTGTCCCCCATTTGTATTTTGGTCACATTTTTGTCTTCAGCCCTCTCTGGCTCTTGCCTCCCCAGACTGACTTCTCGTCTTTTATTCCCTACACTCTGGGCTTGTCTCAGTTCCTTGGATACAGTGTTCTCTCATAACCTCGTCTTTCTCCTTCATCATTCTCATCATACCTGGATTATTTATCCTCTGGTGTCCATGGGGACACAACCATGCCTGTTTTGTCCATCTGTTATAGCCTCAGTACAGCACCTGACATGTTCTGGATGCTCAGCTCAGAGTATTTTATTTTGAATATTTTGTGTTTGCATCCAAAAGCATTTAACATGATTTGACCAGAAAAGGAAATTGTTTGGCCCATGTGACTAAACTATTGAGGAATCAGGTAAAACTTTAGCTGGGATCAAGTGATTTGACCTGGAAAGAAACCTGGTTTCTTTCCTCCCCATTTTTTTCTTTTTCTTTTTCTTTTTCTTTTTCTTTCTCTTTCTTTCTCTCTCTCTTTTCCCACCTGGAAAGAAACCTGGTTTCTTTCCTCCCCATTTTTTTCTTTTTCTTTTTCTTTTTCTTTCTCTTTCTCTTTCTTTCTCTCTCTCTTTTCCCCTCTTTCTCTTTCTCTTTCTCACTTTACTTTCTCTTTCTCTGTTTCTCTCATTCTTTTTCTTTCTCTTTCTCTTTCTTTCTCTCTCTCTTTTCCCCTCTTTCTCTTTCTCACTTTACTTTCTCTTTCTCTGTTTCTCTCATTCTTTTTCTTTCTCTTTCTCCCTTTCTCTTTCTTTTTCTTTCTCTTTCTCTCTTCCTTTCTCTTTCTTCCTTTCTCTTTCTTTCTCTCTCCCCCTTCTCTTTCTTTCTCACTTTCTCTCTTTTTCTCCCTTTCCTTCCTTCCCTCCCTCCCTCCCTCCTTCCTTCCTTTTCTCTCTCTCTCCATCCCTCCCTCCCTCTAGTTTTATTGGTCTGATTTGTTCATAGGTAGCCTCCTCACAGAACCAAAGGACCAGCTAATGGTGAGGGAAGGTGGAATCTTAAACCTTCCAGAGTCAGGGATCTGCAGGGTTCCCCCAGCCCAAACCCATTTTCTGCCCTTGCTCCTGGGAGGGAAGGTAAGAGAAGAAGAGAGGACACTCTCTGGGGGATGAGCATGGGGGCAACTACAGGAGATTTTAGTGTGGGGCCCAGGGTCTGTTCTTCAAAGTAGGAAGTAAAAGGGATCACATAAGTTCTTTATTGCAGACCTACAGAAATGAGAGAATTATGTATTACTCTAACCTGAAGTTTCTTTTTCCCTTCTTTTTCTTTTCGCAAAACAGCATCAGGAAAGAAAAATGTAGGAGGCAGACAAGCCAGGCACCAGGGTTCAGATCAGAAGGGACCAAGGTGTGGCTGCCTGAGCAGTGTTGCTGCAGGCCAGCCTGGGCTCTCTCCAGGCATCTTGGGAGAACTTCAACAAGCCCTAGAGGGATCAGACAGAAGGAGAGTGGGTGGGAAGATGGCTGTCCCTGATCAGCAGCAGCACCATTCCTCTCATGACCATCCTGGGTAGTCAGCTAGCATAGAAGCATTTGTGTCTCCCACATTTGGAGGCTGGTCTCCAAAGCACGAGCCTACAGGGCTCAGACAAAAGGGAGGACGAGGAAAGGGCTGGCACAGAAAGGCTGTGAGTTCTACTAGGGTCCCTCCCTGGGACCACAGGGGCCCAGTGGGCAGCAGTAATCAGGACTCTTCCCTGCTTGTCAGCCAATCAGCTTCTTCAGAAAGGCCTCCAGCTGGTTCTCATCCTTGATGCCCACAAACTTATCTACCACATCCCCATTCTCGATGGCCAGCACGGTAAACACAGCTGACACCTGAGTGGAGGGGACTGGGGAGGCCGTCTCACTAGGAAATGAACTTCCTCAACTGCTGTCCCCCAGCCTTTGTGGAAAAAGCTGGTGGCTTATCCAGGGCAGCAGCCACCCAAAGCCATGGACAGGGGTGCCTAGGGAAAGTGGCTCTTCCGTCGGTGCAAGGGTGCTGTGGGTCCTGCAGCCCGCCTGCTGGAGAAACTTCTTCCATTGTGGACTCCTAGCATCTCCTGCCCATTTCTTTTTTCTGTTTTAAGGCAGGCTCTCCTCTCATAGTCTCAGGATGGCTGTCAGGGATTCTCAGGGCTGCATGCTTTTCTTTTAAGCCTTTTGGAGATGATGGGATAGAGGACGGGGAGAAAAATATCTCTTTCTCACACTATTGTTCAGAAGTCCTGGATTTCATTCTACTTAATAAATCAAAGACACTTGCCCATCCCTGCACCACTCTCCTGGACAGAGAATGGGGGCATGTAGATGGGTTTAGGCAGTTGTAGAGCCAGGATAACTTCCACACAAACCATGGGGTTGCTGACAGCCAGAAGAAGGAAGTTCCCAAAGTCAGGTTATTTCTGATAGAAGCACAGGGGAATAGATGCCAGAGAGCTAAAAAGCTGTCTGTTACAAGATTCAGTAAATAACCACTGCCATCAGAAGATGGGAGTGGGGAAGAAAGATGAAATTTAAGGCATCATAGTCTTATTATTGTCTCTGGTACAGGTTATTTGTGGGAAAGCCGCAGGTTTTAGTTAGACACAATAACTTCATTGCTTCAAAGTTAAAATTGTATAATGGTATTTTGGAGTTTGGGAACAAAATGTTATTTTCTGGTAATATTTGAAGCATGATGAAATTCAGTTTTATGAACTAAATGGCTTCCTTTCTTCTTATTTCAAGGGCTATGAATGGTGGTCATGTACCTGCAGAGTAGACTCTGGAGGAAAGATGATGTATTTTTATGTAGGGCACTTTGAGTTTGAGGAGCCCATGAGATACTTGGTTAGGTGTGTCCTATGAACAGTTTCATATAATGGAGGTCTTGGGGTAGATACAGTTTTGAGAGCATATGAGCTTTAGAAGAGACCGCATAGGGTAGGTAGTAGTTAAGAAAGAGCTCTTATTCCCCTTGATAGGCATTCCCCACCCCCTCAGAAACTAATCAAAAGATTACTCTGTTTCATTCACTCATCAGATATTGATTAGCTACCATAGAGCAAGAACTGTACTGAATGCTGGATATGTAGCAGTGAATCAAAAGTTCCTTTTTTCACAGAGGCAAACTGCCAGGATTTGAATCCCTGCTCCACCACTTGCTAGCTGGGTAATCTTCGGCTATTTGTTTAACTACTCTGGGCCTCAGTTTCCACATCTATAAAATTGGGAGCTAATAGTACTCATCTCATAGGGCTGTATTACATGAATTAATGTCAGTAAACCACTTAGAACACTGCCTGGCACATTGCAAGTGCTATATATGTGTTTGCTAATATTAATATTATCATTTTAATTATTATGTCTTAAGACATAAATGTAGAGAAGTTTGCCCAGGGAGGGTATATAGAATAATAAGATTAAGGATTAAATACCCTGAGCTGAGTGGTTAGCTCAGTTGGTTAGAGTATGGTGCTGATAACACCAAGGTCCAGGGTTTGATCCCTGTATTGGCCAACAAAAATAAATAAATAAAAATTTAAAAAGGATTAAGTACCCTGGACCCTAAGGAATGTGGATCCTAAAAGTTTAAGTAGATGTTCAATAAATGCTGGCTATCTTTTCTATCTTGCCTTTTCTTTACTTGCAGTATTTGTCATAGAAAAATGGTTTTTATTTTCATATTAGCCCATTTTTAAAGGGAGATGTGCTTGAGAATATCTGTTTTTCTTGTATTTCTTTCCCATAGTCATTTAAATAATTCATTTCCTCACCTTCTTCATGCACACCCACTGTACTTTTGCTTGTTTCATTTTTTCCAGCCTTCCAACATATTCTTTACAATGGACGATGTGGTCAAGGTTGGAGACTTTGGATTAGTAACTGCAATGGACCAGGATGAGGAAGAGCAGATGGTTCTGACCCCAATGCCAGCTTATGCCAGACACACAGGACAAGTAGGGACCAAACTGTATATGAGCCCAGAGCAGGTGAGTTTTCAGACTTTTATTTAGCATGGCAGCAAGCTAGATGTGCCCGATGAATCTCCTCCCATGTTCTCATTAAAATACCCAGTAATATAAAGTCTGAAAGTTATGAAAACTGGCACTAGTATACCACAGGCAACACAGCTAGCTTGCAGTTTCTACAACCTGCATTGGGGACAGGTTAAGAAAAATACAACACATAAAATACACTCATCATCTGAATCAGAACCTGACAGCAACCAGAAATTTAGAAGGAGACTTTGAATGCCACCCTCCCAAACTTAACTCCATTTTGTCTTGTGTGCTATGTAGGAATTGTTTTCAGAGCATGAAAAATGAACTGTCCTCTGTGGTAATTCACAGGCAGCTTCCAGAATGTATCATGCCAGGAAATACTCATAGAGGTACATAGGCTGGGATATGTTGCCTTGTAGGATGCTTGGTCTTCAAAGGAAAGGCACTGTAAACAGTGCAGGGACTGGAAAAGTGGTGGGAGGAGAGCATCCTGGGAGCTTCAGAGTAGCATACCAGCTGCTGCCAGGCCAGTGATATTCACAAGCTTGCCTAGGCTTAGATTAGTGGGTCTCAAATTTTTTGTTCTCAGTATCTGTTTACACTTGTAAAAATGATTGAGAACCCAGCAGTTTTTCTTATAGAATTGTATCTATCAATATTTTCCATATTAGAAATTAAAACTGAGAAATTCATAAAGCTTTATTAATGTGATTAAAATAGTATTAAACCCATCACATCTTATGCTATTTTTATGAAAAATAAATATTTCCCAAAACAACAAAAAAAATTAGAATAGTGACATTTATTTATATTTTTACAAATCTCTAATATCTGACTTACAGAAGAGCTAGATTCTCATATCTGCTTTTGCTTTCAATCCATCGAAATGTTATTCTGGCTGGGTGCGGTACATGAAGAAAAATCTGGCCCCACACAGATATGTAGTTGAAAAAGGAAGAATATTTTATATCAGGTAATTATGGATACTCCTCTTTATTAGTGAGCGCACCTGCCATCTCTATATAGGATCCGAACCCGCAGTGGGAGTGCCGCCGCTGCGCTCCCAGCGCCGCACTCTCCCAAGTGAGCCACAGGGTCAGCCCAAGTGCTAGTTTCTTAAAAGTCATTTATAATGTGGACTAAAATATTTGCACAAGTGCTTTTTCTCAAGACAACCATTTTTACTTTGGAATGGAGCAGAAATGCTTTACGAATAGTTCCCATTTTATCACACATTATTAAAAATACATGTATTGAAGGGTCAAGAGTTAACAAAATTAATAATTTTTACTGCACAGCAAGGACATTAGAGTGAGATTTTTTTTTTTTTAAGCTGTAAGTGGTACTAAAGAATGTAATTACTACCAGTACTATTTGGTGCCGATTTCCTAATTCATGCTTAGATTTCATCAGTGCAAATGTCAACACAGTGAAAAGACAAATTATTTCTTAGTATCATTATAAAAATAGTCTTGTCCTTGCAGATCCCAGGTCATTGAAAGGGTGTTGAGGTCCCAAGAATTCAGGGACCACATTAGAGAACCACTGGATTAGTTTATCTTTGGAAGGTTATATCAGAAACCAGTAGTAGAAATTGCCTTTGAGGAGGGGGACTTTATTTTATTATTATGCAGTATCTTTTTGAAGTGTTTGAATTATTTACATTATTCAAGTGTTTCTTTTTTGTGTTTTAAATTTTTATTTTTTATTTAATTTAAAAAATGCTTTAAAGAACCCTATACTGAGACATCTTATATTTCAAAGATAAAGGGAAATGGTATAAGTGTTTAGGGAGGAAAAAAAGAGGTTACAGCTGAAGCGCTTGTTTTCTGTAGCACTCAACTCTGAAAGATTACAAAGCAACATACAACAGTTGTGACCCATGAGTCTTGTATCTGGCCATGAAGTTATTTATGTACAAAGAAATCAGGCATTTTTAGATAAGTAAAAGTTTGAAAAAAAAAGTCTCATAAGTGAAAAAAAACAAGGTGCAGAAATGTGCATACTGTGCTACCTTTTGTGTAAACGAGGGAAAGATAGATAAATATTTGCTTATGTTGATATAAAGAAATTCTGGAAGGATGCGCAAGAAACGGATGGTTATGGGAGCAGCAGCAGAGGGGAAGCAGCTGGTGGGCCTGGGCAGGTGAGGGACAGGGTGAGACGGAAATTTTACTCTTACTTCTTTTTGAGCCATGTGAATGTATTACCTATTAAAAGTGAATTTAAGAAGAGAATCTAACAAAAATTGATTATAGACATCAAAATCAATTAACAGTCTGTGCCAGTGGCTATTTTGAATTAAAATGTGCTCAATAAAAGCCTTATAATTTTAAATATAGTCATCAAATTAAGCTGGGTCTGTAACTCCCATGTTAAATTAACAAAGATCAGGAAATGGAAGACAGTAAGAACAAGGAGAATAAAGATGTGAGTAGGGATTTGCATTCGATGTGCCTAAATTCGGCAAATAGAACTAAAAGAACATTTCTACCTTCTGTATCACTGCAGAAGATAAATGTAAACTGCAACAAAAGGAAGGGGTATGAAAATACAAAAAACAAAACTTAAAGTGATGCTATAGCCAAATTTTAGTTATGTCAATAAATAAATAAATGTGTTTAAATTTCACCATGAAAAGGAGAACTTCATACTGGGTTAGAATGTTTTTCAAAAAAAGGTTAAAAAGGGAAGCTAGGTGAAAAATATACTAGGCTTTATATATAATTGCATTTGAATATTTATAGACAAATAAATTAAAATAGGATATACTTTCATCTCAACCTTCTAGGCCACAAAGAAAAACCAGCATATCCAAAAACAGAAATTGTAAATGTCTTTCTGTAATCACAGTGCAGTAAAAAGTGGTTATAGTGAGTGGTTTGTTGTGATTTTGGTTTTCTGTTTGCTTTTCATTTTTGTTTTTGCTTCCATTTTGGCTAGCTGGGAATTTAAAAACACTCCTAAATAACTACCAGATTAATAATAATGAAGTAAAATACTTGTACATACTATTAAGAGAGTAATGAAAGAAATGGTAAAATATTGAAATCTATAGGAAGTTATCAAAGTTCTATTTGGAGATAAACTTATTTGAAAGACCTTCAACACATAAGCACATTACTGCATTAAGTGATTTAGTATTCTGCTCAGTAGGAGGCAGGGAAGAGCTGCAAGAAGATGGAAAACAAGCATAAGAACCGATACTGATGAAACAGTAAAACAGCATCATCATGGCTGATTTTAATAGCTTTAAATAAAAAAGATAATCCTCTCTAGCAAGTCTACTTAAGGGGGAAAAAACACACAAATAGATGTAGAAATTAGAAAGGATACAGCAGAGATTTTAATTTATAGGAGACTATTATACATAGTCTATTATTTGCAACCAAAAGTCTCCAAACTGTCTTAAGAAGAAAAAGAAATCTATTGGCCCGAGTAATTGAATTGTCTTGGTGGAATGATGTGCCCAGGACCTGGTGAAAGGAAAAATTAAAACTGTATGGAATATCAAAATACTCTAAATACATATTTATATGCATAGGAAAAAACACTGGAATGGCTGTAAAATATCGAGTCATTGCTTTCAAGTTAGCAGAGTTCCAGTGAATTTTAATCTATTTTGGACTTTTCTGTATTTCCCAATTTTTTTAAATAGGCATATATCAGGATTGATACCAAAAAACTTTTAAAAGCATTTTTAAAATTCATCATTATTTTAGAAGCTGGAAATAACACTTTTACATTTGACATTTTATGAAAGCAAACTAGGAATGACTAAATAGAAGGAATTCCACCTGGTTGCTTATTGATAAAAGACTTTCTATATGGAAAGGTGCCCCAACAGCCCTGTTTAAAATAGGGGACTCTCCCTCATTCTCTGCTAGGGTCTACCCCTTTGTACTGTATTCTCTTCATAGCGTTTTTAACCCCCTGAAATTGTTTTTTCTTCTCCTCTAAAATATATGCTATCAGAATAGGAACCTCGCTTATCTTGTTTACTTTAACACCTAAAACAGTGCCTAAAATTCAGCATGTGTTCATAAGTGTTTGTGGATGAGTGAACGTGAATGCCAGTGAAAAGACAAACATCAGGTGGCCCTGGCCACCTGTACACACTGCTGTCTTGACTGTGCTTTGGTTGTGGCTACAGATTATGTGCGTATGAGCATGAGTGTGTACAAGCACATATGTGTGTATTTGTCGGAGGCAGGGATTGCCATATGAGAAAGAAAGAGATCGATGACAAGCGATGCTATATTTGGTATTGCTGAAGATACTAGAAAATCAGGATAGCTATAGAAAAGTTAATAGTATATAGAATTTTAACAGTAGTTTAATTATGGTAATTAGAGATGGGTAGTTTTAATTCTCTTCTTAATAATCCTCTTTAAATATAGAAACTGTCACTTTAGTAAAAACGAAAAGAAAAAAAAAACTCACTTTATAAAATGTCCCTTTAAAACGTCTCTCAAGGGTTCAGATCCTAGTACCAGCCAACCACCAATAAAAATCTCTCAAAATATTTTGGCTATGTGAATTGGCTTACCCAAGCCTCGTAAGCTGTCCTAAGACATTGTTTTAAAATATTTCTTATCAAATTTCTTAATTTTCTTGCCCTCAGAGTAAATGAGCAGGGGCCACAGTTACTTTGCTCTTTGTTGTAATTACCAAGAAATATAGACCAAGTTCTAGTATTACACAACAATAAAACAATTAATTTAAACTCTGAAAGGGTGGGGCCGGCCCATGGCTCACTCGGGAGAGTGCGGTGCTGATAACACCAAGGCCACGGGTTCAGATCCCATATAGGGATGGCCGGTTGCTCACTGGGTGAGCGTGGTGCTGACAACACCAAGTCAAGGGTTAAGATCCCCTTACCGGTCATCTTTAAAAAAAAAATAATAATAAAAATAAATAAATAAATAAACTCTGAAAGGGTGTCTTATATTTCACCTCTCAAGATTTTGTATTTAATTCCCTTTTTTAAGATATTTTATAAAATAGCTTTTCATGTGTTCATGAGCCTACATTTTAAAAAATATATTGAATAATGCTTTTTTTCCTCATCATATATTAATCTGTTCTCTATGTAGGGAATGTGGAAAATACAGGAGTGTATAAAGAAAAAGTTAAATCACTTTCTAAAAATCTCTAAAACATTAATGGCAGTTAGTTATTTCCTTCTATGTGTGTATATACACATCTTATATATTTATACATACCTTGTTTTGGGAAGCAAAATTGGGATTCTACTCTATAAAATATTGGATGTAATATTAAAATGTAAGCATTTTCCATATTATTCTTAGAAACATTCTTAGAAAATATTTTTATCTGTATCATATTTGCTCTGTTCAGCAATTTATTCAATATTTGTTTTAGACATTTTAGTTACTTTTAAATTTTGCTGTTAGTAATATCACTTGGGTAGCTATCCTTGTATCCAAATCTCTGTCCACATTTCCAACTACTGCAGGTTGGACAAAATTAGATGGGACCATTAAGTGGGAATAAATGTTTATTGCCAAGTTGCTTCTCATTAACGTGTCAATTTATAGTCTCCAAATAGTGCATAAGGGTATCCTTTTCATTGTACCCCTGTATGCATTGTTTTTGAACATATTTTCTTTGAATAATTCCCAACCCCCAGGGATGAGAGGTAAAGGAGGATTCAAATTGCTACAATCACTTAGAAGGGAGGAGGGTGATGCAGCCATTGTAGCCGCTGAAACTGTCCATCTGCTCTTGGAGAAGCATAGAGGTGGGCTGGCTGCATGGAAGGAACCAAGGAGACATACCAAGTAAGGTTTAGAGGGAGGTCATGAAGGACTCATCAACCCTGGCAACTGCCTTGTTTCCACCTCCAGCCCTCAATAAAGAAATGCTGGGTGTGGAGCATTTCCAAAGTGATGCCCTTCTTTGGCCATTTGCCAAATGTCAAGTTATATGCCTAAAAAATGTTTAACAAATAAAAGGGTTCTCTGAGTTGTCAGGGGATCACTTTTAATTTGAATGAGTCTTTGTTTAATGGAGTAGTTCAGTTGTAAATGATTTGTTCATTCTAACAAGTATTTATTGAGGGCATTCTCTGTACTTAGCCCAGTGCTGGATGATGGGAAAACAAAAGAAGCAGTTGCCTTCCCTCCAAGACTATATAATCTAGTTGTGAAGAATAAGAAATATACACATGAAAAATACTGCTAAGAATGCAAAGTAGTCCATAATTAAGTGCCATAATGAAGGCTAACCACAGTTGATTAGTGGTTTGGAGTAATGAAGATTTTCTCATAAAAATGGGTGAGGACTAAGATGATTAGAAATGAGAGATTTGGTTTAGATAGTGTTTGCTTTGAAAAACTTCACCTCGGGGGTAGTTGAGCAGCTTTTACTGGCTCCCTAAAACACTTTTTTAGCATCGCAAGGCTCCAGGTTTCTGCCAGTTCTGTTTTACTGATGCATATCTCAGAGCTATACCTGGGCTTTCCTTCTGTAATGCTGAGTAGTTTAATTACTCTTGGTGTAGTGAGTTGAAGAAAAGAGGCTTGAGAGATTATTAACTCTTTGCTAACATTTTTTACACATGCACTGACATTTAAACCAAGAAGTGACTAAGTAAACTTCATGATTCAGTAATGCTATAACGTGAATTGTACTAGCTCTGTGTTAATTTTTTAAATATTGTTTTCTTTATATGGGATTTCAGATTCATGGGAACAACTACTCTCATAAAGTGGACATATTTTCTTTAGGCCTGATTCTATTTGAATTGCTGTACCCATTCAGCACTCAGATGGAGAGAGTTAGGGTAAGTACCCCCCTCCTCAACGAAAAGCTGAAAAAGAAAGTAAAATTTACAAAAGAGTTTTAAAAGAAGATCAAATTATTCTTAATACCAGCAGACTAGTTAACTAGAAGTAAAAGAAGTCATATGAGCAATATAGGGAGGATTTATAGACTATTTGCTTCCATTTAAAATTCAGTCTTTGAAAAATTGTTTAGTTGGATTGTTCCTAGTTTTTGCTTAAATTTATCATAATTCAACAGTATCTTGCACTCGATAAATTTGTAACAAGTACAAATCTAGGGGAAACCCAGGGTAATAATGGGGACAGGCTGGGGAATGGGAGGGAGGGAGCGGTGATGGTAAATCATCAGAGATTTTTCTGGAGGGCACGTGGCCACACACTCATATACTTAAAAGCCGGGAAATTATGCATAATTAGTTTTTTCCATTCCAGAATAAAGCATGACCATAGCTTTTAAGACAGATAGTACCACAAGTCTTTTCAAAGCCCAGACCTCTGCCACATTCTTCCCCACTCTCCATCAGTGGTTGCCCTCAACCTAGTTGTTGTCCCTGGTACTTACCTCCATATTTCCAAAGTTTATGCTCTTATCACCATTTCTTAATTTATCAGTTTTAGATATTATCTATTGACTTCTGGCCATGGCAGAAGAGGATGTAGTTCTCACATAAAACCAAAGGACTCATATCTTCTAAATGAAAGGACTTACTAAGTGTTCTATACAATAAGTGGAAAAAAAGAAAAACTAAACAAAAACAACTAAATTTCAGAACACCAGAAATGAAGGCCCCAGAAGCTTCCAGAAAGGAAAATAAAACAGGTCCAACTTAAGTAAAGGATCAGGAATCAGATGGCATCAAATGAAGTGCAAAACAAAATCACAATGAGATATAGCACTTCACACTATCTAGGATGTGTGTAATCAAAAAAAAAAAAAAAAAAGGAAAATAACAAGTGTTAGATAAGATTCAGAGAAATTTGAATGCTTGTGTATTGCTCGTAGGAATAGAAAATGGTCTAGCTACTATGGCATACAATTTGGCAGTTTCTCAAAAAGTTAAACATAGAAGTATCATATGGGGGCTGGCCCGGTGGCGCACTGTTACAGTGCGCCACTTGGGAGCACGGTGGTGCTCCCGCCGAGGGTTTGGATCCCACATACAGACCGGTTCCCGCTCACTGGCTGAGCGAGGAGCGGGCGCAACGCCGAGGGTTGCGATCCCATTGCCGGTCCCGGTCTGGTATGGGCGCGACACTGAGGGTTGCGATCCGTTGCCGGACACGAAAAAAGACAAAAAGGAAAAAAAAAAAAGAAGTATTGGGCCGGCCCGGTGGCGCACTGCTACAGTGCGCTGCTTGTGAGTGCGGTGGCGCTCCCGCCGAGGGTTTGGATCCCACATACAGACCGGTTCCCGCTCACTGGCTGAGCGAGGAGCGGGCGCAACGCCGAGGGTTGCGATCCCATTGCCGGTCCCGGTCTGGTATGGGCGCGACACTGAGGGTTGCGATCCGTTGCCGGACACGAAAAAAGACAAAAAGGAAAAAAAAAAAAGAAGTATTATATGACCCAGTAATTCCACTCTTAAATTTATACTCAAATGAAATGAAAACATAGATCCACACAAAAATGTCCATAGCAGCATTATTCATAATAGGCAAAGGTAGAAACAACCCGAATGTTCGTGAGTTGATGAATGGAAAAACAAATTGTGGTGTATCCGTACAAAGGAATATTATTCAGCCATAAAAAGGAATGAAGTACTGATACGTGCTCCAACATAGATGAAACTTGAAAGCATTATGCTAAGTGAAAATCACAAAAGTCCACATTTGTATGATTCAATTTTTATGAAATGCCCAAAATAGGCAAATTTATAGAGACAAAGTTAGATTAGTAGTTGCAGGGGGCTGGGAGCAAAAGGGGGTGAGGAGTGACTGCTTAATGGGTACAGGATTTATTTTGGGGTGATGAAAATGTTCTGGAATTAGTGGTGATGGTTGAGCAACATTGTGAATATAAGAAGAACCACTGAATTGCACACTTTTTTTTTTTTTTTTTTGTCTTTTTGTCTTTTTTCCCTGTCCGGCAATGGATTGCAACCCTCAGTGTTGCCCCCGTACCGGACCGGGGACCGGCAACGGGATCGCAAGCCTCGGCATTGCTCCCGCACCTCGCTCAGCCAGTGAGCGGGAACCGGTCTGTATGTGGGATCCGAACCCTCGGACGGAAGCGCCGCCGCGCTTCCCAAGCGGCGCACTATCCAGTGCGCCACCGGGCCGGCCCTGAATTGCACACTTTTAAAATAGTGAATTTTATATGAGTTTTATTTCAATAACAAAATGTAAAAAAAAATCGGTTATAAAATTCTTTTTGTTAAATTAATGGTATTTATCTTGGCCATGCAAATATTCTATGCTAGGCCAAATAGTGTATTCTGACTTTCTTTTCTTTCTTCTACAACCTGTTTACCCACAATCACCTTTTCTCAATTCCTTAGTTTTCAATGAACCCTTACAAGGGTATTTCAAAAAGTTGGTGGAAAAATAGAATTAAAATGTAATACAAGGCCGAGGGCCTCATCCAGCCCAGCGACAACCACTGAGCCATCCCTGGAAGCGCCCAGACTCTCATGCCAGAACGAGGGGGGTGCCACAGGCCTTGACCACACCCCACCTTCCTCCTCCTCCCACCATATTCCCCTCTCCTTTCCTTTCTCCCCCTCCTCCCCAAGTACTCCATCCATAACATCATCTTAGAATGTAGAAAAATAATAATAATAAATAAATTTAAAAGTAAAAACTAAATTTTAAAAAAAAGTAATACAAATCTTCCCTTGAACTTTTTGAGGTACCCTCGTATTGTAAATTTTAACAAATGTTCAAAATCTGTCATATGTCAAACAGTATTTTCTCTGTGCTTTAATATAGCTGTTCTCTACATGTATCTTTCTAAACAGTATATACACAAGGGGTCTTCAAAAAGTTCATGGAAAGATTCATATTAACTTTTAATTCTATTTTTCCACAAACTTTTTGAAGTATCCTCAATATATGTAAATGTATATATACACACACATATAAATATCTCTCCTATATTTTGATGTTTGATAGAGTGGACATCTATGCTCAGGAAGCTCTTATATAGATTATCTAGTCAGGAAACACTATTGATAAGTTTTCCATCTGTTTAATATCCAACCTTTCTTAGCTATTCTGTTAGAGTATCAAAAGATATTTTTATATTTAAATAGATCCATATGTCAAAATAAACTTAAAGATAATTAACACTTTTCTTTCTTTTTAGACCTTGTCCGATGTAAGAAATCTCAAATTTCCACCACTGTTTACTCAGAAATATCCTCGTGAGGTATGTATAATTCTCATCTTTTATTTCTTTAGAATCATATTTAGAACTTAAAGAGTTCTTAGCAGTCAATTCATCAATTTCCCCATTTTACAGATGAGAAAGCCAAAGGTCTAGAGAGGAAAGGGACCCACTTCCAAGAGCACACAATTTGTTAAAATCAAAGACTGGAGCTCGGGCCTGGCTTCATCAGCTTAGTGTCCTATGCTGCATGCTGCGTGTCCTCCTGCACGTCAGTGGTAGTAGTTTATGCTTGAATAAGACTGAATTCCTAGAGCACCTTCACAGGAGTACAGTTACTGTTATGATCATACCATTAATCTCTTTATTTTTGTGAATTTGTGAGAGAACTTTAAAAACTGCCTCATTTAAAAAAAAATGAAAGGCACTGATTTCCATTGATTGTGTATTCGAGTTATACCACACACTAAACAGTTCAGAACAGTAGGAAGGGAAAATTTAAGCTGGTCTGGATGGTGAAAATTATGTGTAGAGCCTTTGAAGTTATATTTCTTTTTTGGCTTTTGTTTATTTTTATTTTATAATATGTTTGGTCTACAAACATATTTTAAAATTTATACATTGGTAAATCTTGAATTTTCTTAAATAAGTTGAAGTATATTAGACAGTGTGTTAATCATCAAATTAGAAAAAGTCAAAATTTGTCTTTCAGAATTATAATGAATATACAATGAAGGACTGCATTAAAAATGAACTTTATAATGACATACTTAGATACACTAATTGGAAATGAAATGTTTTACTAAAAATTGTCATTTATTTTTTGCAAAGTTGATAATTCTCTTCCCTGTATGGCTGATAAGAGTATGTGTTACATTAAAAGGGATTTTTTTTAAAAATCAAGAAAAGGTGTTGGGTGCTGGTCTCTGGCATGATTGTTTTCTTAATTGAAATTTTTATTGAGATAAGTATAGATTCACATGCAGCTGTAAGATGAACTTATTTTTAAAATTGGATGATGTCTGTTTCAACGATATGACTTAAAAACTCTTTCTTATTGTTAGAAAACCACTAATTACCAAAAGAATGGTTGGTCTGTTTATTTGGAGCAGGGCTTGGCAAACTAGGGCCCACAGGTGAAATCCAGCCTGCTGCCTATTTATTTTTTTAAAGATGATCGATAAGGGGATCTTAACCCTTTACTTGGTGTTGTCAGCACCACACTCTCCCAAGTGAGCCTCGGGCCAGCCCTCTGCTGCCTATTTTTGTAATAAAGGTTTATTAGAACACAACCGTGCCCATTAGTTTATGTATTGGCTGTGGCAGCTGTTGTGCTTTGATGGCACAGTTGAATAATATGGCTCACAAACTTAAAATATCTGTAGAAAAACTTTGCTTTCCCCTGATGTAAAGGACTGTTTAGTGTTCTAAATGTGGCTCTTTTTTCACGAAACAATTTTTATATTTCAGTGTGTGATGGTTCAAGACATGCTCTCTCCATCCCCCACGGAACGGCCAGAAGCTATAAACATCATTGAAAATGCTGTATTTGAGGACTTGGAGTTTCCAGGAAAAACAGTGCTCAGACAGAGGTCTCGCTCTATGAGTTCATCAGCAACAAAACATTCAAGACAGTCCAGCAACTCCCATAGCCCTTTGCCAAGCGATTAGCCTCAAGTCGTGCTAACAGCCCTATCACAGAAGAGCCCACCTCTTAGGAATGTGACTTTCCAAAGCTGTAGACTTGAAAATTTTGTTCTTTGCACAGTTTTATTTTAGACTGACTACTTTTTCTAAGTCAAATTTAAACAGGATTTTGGGGCATAAAATAATTTTGAGTCAACTCTTGATTTTTGCCGTACTTAAGGAGAGAGCTATCCAAATCACATGCGGTCCTTATTGTTCTTTGGTCTCTTGAAACTGGCTGACAAAGCTTTATAGCCCTCACCTTTTGCCTGGGGAGTTAAAAGCAATCCCTAAATACAGAGAGAGAATTAATATGGAAATATTTTTATAGTACAGAAGAATGAAAGTCCCCCCATGTGGTAATTATAGTGTTCTAGAAATATGCTTTCTAGAGATATGATGATTTTGAAACTGATTTCCAAAAAAGCTGACTCCTTTTTTGTCCCTGGTGGGTAAATTAGGAGTCTGTGCTATTTTGGAGGACAAGTAGCACAAATCGTATGACTGTTTATGTCTGTAGTTTTATAGTCATATTTGTAGCATTAAATAGCTTTATTTCTTAGATGGTTCTAGGAAGAGTTTAAGAGCTTTTTGTACTTTTATCTCCAATAAAGGGAAAATGAAGCTTTTTATGTAAATTGGTCAAAAGTTCTGGTTCGGGGAGGAAAAAAGCCGTAGTAAGAAATGGGTCATATATTACAACTAACTTCTTCAATTATGGACTTCTTAAACCTAACAAAATCTTAAATGTCTTACACGTAATCCTGTAGGTTGGTACTTCCCCCAAACTGATTATAAGTAACAGTTTAATCATCTAACTTGTTAACATGTTTTTATTTTTCACTGTAAATATGTTTATTTTTTATTTATAAAAATTCTGAAATCAATCCATTTGGGTTGGTGGTGTACAGAACGCACTTAAGTGTGTTAACTATTGTGACTTCTTTCAAGTCTAAATGATTTAATAAAACTTTTTAAAATTATTTATGGGTGACTCTTACTTGGGGAAGTTAGTCCCAAAATGGTAGATTTTCAAATTTATAAAATGTGATCATAGCTCTAGGAAGGGTCATAGCCCTACCCTCAAGAAAATTTATTCCTAACCTATTTCAGACAGGTGTCTTTTTCATTATTTCCCAAAGACTTGGTATGGCCCTTTCAGAATTTTCAGGATTGGTAATCAAGAGACATTTGCTCAGTGCCTATTCTGTGTCAGAAACTGGGAATATACAGAGAATCCTACCCTAACAGGAGACCTCACAGAGAGAAGGGCTTACATTGGTGATGCTAGTCGTGTTGATATAACAGTGTATCCAATATGTGCCACATGGAGGCATGTGGCATGCTGAGCTCACTAGTCACCAACTGGCTAGACACAAACTTTAAGGATCAAAGTGCATGAGTGTTTCTATCTTACAACAAATAATGTCTTCCGAACAGTTAGTTATGAGCAATATGTAAGCTGGAAAAACACTTCCCAGATTATCTGTAGATTGTATGCAGACTTGCACGTAGTAGTGCTGCTCAAATGTCGTCCTACTTCCCAGGATTGTGCTTGGTTCCTGGGAGCAATATGTAAGCTGGAAAAACACTTCCCAGATTATCTGTAGATTGTATGCAGACTTGCATGTAGTAGTGCTGCTCAAATGTCGTCCTACTTCCCAGGATTGTGCTTGGTTCCTGGCAGCCCACCACCATCTTCCTGTTTAGTTCTGCTCCTTTACCCCCTGCTTTAGTTCTGCTCCTTTACCCCCTTCCTCTTTACCCCCAGCTGGCATCCTGTTGATTTGTTCCCAGCACACCCCATTCAGTCCCCTGAAGATCCTTTGACCCCCACAACAGCCCTAGGAGCTAACCATGGCAGGCACTATTACCATTCTACTACGGTCAGACTCAGGTCAGAAAGGTGCTATGGTTTGCCTAAGATCACAAAGCCAGCAAGAGCAGACCAGCACTGAAACCCAGGTACTCCTGTTCCTAGTCTGTTTTGCTACTCCCTTGTACCAAGCTGTCTTATTTGTAAGTTCTTACATGATTTTCTTTCATTTTAATCTTGTATATGCCTTTGCCAGCAGCTAGCAGGAAAGTAGGCATGGCGATGGGGAGGTTAAGGCGTTGGGCCAGCAGCACTTAGCAAGTTCACAGGGTAGCCAGAATTGAGTCTCCTGTGTCCTCACCCAGAACCCTTTCTACTGACTCCAAACCCTACCTCCTCCTTCAAGTGTTGCCTTTCTGGGATCTTTCCAAATCCCCTGCTTGCCCACCCCCACCCCCACTCCCCCACACACATGCACACACTTGCCTCTGCTTTTAGCACTTTGTACTTAATAACACTTATCAATGTCAGGCGTTAGCTGAGCCAGTAACTGATGCACGTCAGCCTCCCTCGTTCATTTGTAAGGTCCTAGAAGGGAGGAGCACACTCCTTCCAGCAACATCTAGCATAAAACCTGGTACTTGATAACATATTTGCAGAACTGAATTTGAGGAATATATCAGTTCGTTTCTGTTGCTTATGACAAAATACCTGAAACTGGGTAATTTAGAAAGAAAACAAAATTCATCACTTACAATTTCTTTTTTTTTTTTTTTCAAAAGATGACCGGTAAGGGGATCTTAACCCTTGACTTGGTGTTGTCAGCACCACGCCCAGCCAGTGAGCAAACCGGCCATCCCTATATGGGTTCCTTTTTCACCTCTTCAAGCCTCCACCTTTCAATAACCATAATAGTATTTCCCACCCTCTTAGTCACAGTGGGGACCAAGTTTCTAATACATAAAACTTGAGGGACACAATTCAAGTTTCAGTGAGTTTTGGGAGGACATAATTCAACCCACTACAAGAAACATACATGTAACTCTGCCATAGCCATAGCCCTCAGGAAACAGCCCAAGGGAGAGAAAAAAATATACTAGTCACTACAATAAATACTGGCAAAGTGAAGGAAGAGAGGTGGTTTAACAATCTGATGCTCAAAATAAAAATCTCAAGTCCTGGAAGTTTTCTAAAGGAAGGGGACCTTGTGCTTTAAATGAGAGGAGAAATGGGCTGGGACAATTGTTAGCACCCACACGGCTCTACCTGGCATTGTCCTCCTTTAGTCTAACTCCCTCTCTTTTGTTTGAGGCGGGGGGACACTGAGAGGAAAGCCACACATGCCTGTTGACACTGTGCCACAAGAAGGCACACACACATCTTCCTGGTTTGCCTTCAAGGAGGCAGCAATACTGAACTGAGTACTGGTCCAGGGGTCAGGAAGCTCATGAGGAATTCTGAAAATTAGCTACCTACTCTACACTTTGCTTCCTAGGAGCAGACAGAAAAGCAGACATTTATGACGTTAGGATGGGGGCTTTGCGTATTTTTTTCTCACTGATACTTTCTCTGGATTTATTTATAACCAAAGCTATTATATTTCTGTGCCATTTTTCTCTAAGGGAGTAGAGACAGAACAAGCTTCCAATTCAACCACCAGCCATAGAGTCACTCAGTCTTACTCTTGGAAAAGTCAAGGGCTAAGCAGGAGCTCTGGATGGTTCTTTGGCCCACTTCTGGGAACACTGACTGTCCCCATAACTAAATTGTCAAGGCACTGCTCAAGGAGACTTCCCTCTGGAGATTCTGTCCCTGCAACTACACTAACTGCCACCAGGTGGCTCATTTTCACCTTTCCCCACGAGAAGTAGCTAGTTGAGAGCTGAAATAAAGAACCTTCTTCAGCCTGTAAAGGCATTCCCCTCCCCAAACACACAATGCATCAGGACAACAAGCATGTCAACACATGACTTAAACATACCAGATACTGAAAATTTTAATCATACAAAGTCCCATAATGCTTTGGCCGTGAACTGCTTTTAAATTCCTCACACGGATGATGACTTAAAACAATAAATGTAGCAATAGGTGCCCAGTTACTTTCAACGACTCTACTTCCAACAGCCTTTAGTATCCCCAACCCCTTACTTAGCACCTCCCTTTTTTGGGTAGCAGAGTAGCTTCCTTCTCTGGACTAAGAACATGTTGGGCAAGGAAGAAGGAACAGAGCGACCAGCCCAGGCTTGGGAGGAGGAAAAGTGTAAGAAAGAGCTGTCAGCAGCCCCATTTAAGAACTATTTTTGAGGCAGAAAGGCCAGGACACTGGAATCAACTGAATATAGGTGAAGGAGAAGATGGCTTCTGAGTCTCTGGTGTGGGAACTTCAATAGAATCCAGAAAAGTAAGATGTGGTTTAGGGACAGAAGGAAAGACGCGTCCCTTTTTGAAAATGATGAGTTTCCCAGGATTCTGCGGTAACAAGTGGGGGCTTTATTGTAAAATGAGAAGCCATAGAAAGTTTCTGAGCTGAGGAAGGACAGTGTGAGAGAGTTTAAGGTCATCATGACAAGTGAGAAAGAGGGTTGACAGGAGGGAGAAAGCTGGAGACAGAAAACCACGCGAGAGGACATAACTTTTATCCAGCAAAAGGTCAGAGGGCCTGAGCCAGGTCAGTGGGAGCTGAAAGACACCCCTGGTCCAGCAACTAAACGTGTGCTGGCTCCCAACAACCAGAGAGGATCCTCTATTACTGCTCTTTAGTGTGGAGTTTTGGAGGACTTCAGGGGGTGCTGTAGTGAGTGGCCCCCTGTTTGGGAAAAACCTGCTGCCTTCCAAATGATGTTGCCTTTTAAAGAGAGTCCAGAGAACATTCTCATAAGTGATGGCAGCAACTTTGGGACCAGCTCCTCTTCTGCTGGCCGCCGGAATGTAAAAAGAGGAGAAAGAACAGTGCAGAGTTTGCTGGCGCAGAGCTCCTCCGGTGCCTTCCAGGGGGAATCTTCGAGAATTTTCACTACCCCGGGAAAGGTCACAATCGGCCCAGAGGGAGTGAGAGGGTTTGATACTGAGAAGCAATGAAGGAAAAAGTGTGTCCTCTCTCCAAAGCGATCTTTTGAAGACATATTCAGGAGAAAGGCTGAATAAACGAAGAAACAGTCATACTATGGATATTATGAAACTATGAAAGCAAATGTGTCAGTAGCATAAGTGGAAATATTAAATGGCTTATTAAGCAGATAAGTGACAAATGCCAGTTGCAGAGAAGTGTGAATAGTACGATTGCAACTGAAAAAAAAAATAGCTCTATGCCTGTTTAAATTGAATTTTTTTCATTAGCATAGAGAAAGTTTTGGAAAGATCCACAACAAAGGCTAAACAAGTAACTTTACAAGAGTAGAGTTGGGGGAGAGTGGGAGGAGATTATAAACTTCAATATGCATCTCAGTATTGTTTTGACTTTTTTCCAACAGACGTAATACTTCCGTAATTAATATTAAATTAATAAAGTAATGAAAAGGCAACCAATAAACAGCATTTATAATATCTTTTAACCCATCTCATATTTGTATTCTGCTTTATAGCTTAGGAGATTTTAACATGATCTCATTTAATGCTACTAGGACTTCTGCAAAGCAGGTATTTTCACTGCTGTTTTACATGTGAGGAAACAGAATGCAAAAATTAAAATAACTATTGTAACAGGAAGTTTGTAATAATCTACTTACCATTCCACCGCCCTTATTAGCATAACAATTCCCACTTCTCTGAATTCTCTCCAATCCAGAGGGCATTTTAGTGGAGTGACAGGTGACAAGAAAGCTCGGGGCTTTGTAATCATAGCCTGCCTCGTTACTTCTTGTTTACAATTTTCCTTCAGCTGTCTAATCTGTTTCCTCAGCTGCAAATAGCACTTGCCAAGATTAAGAAATAAAATATATAACGTTTAGCACGGACTCTGGTAAATAGTTAGAATTCAATAAATAGAGACTTAAAATGAAGTCACAACTTGCGTTTCTCTGCTCTAAAATGGGACAATCCCTTCGAAAGGTTATTGTGAGGATTAAGTGACATCGCTCTGGGTTAAAAAGTCATACAAATACTTGCATGTGCATATGCGCAAATCTATAATTATACGATCAGAGAGAAAGGTAAAGAACCCCTGGCTGT